TTGTAGTATAGTTTGAAGTCAGGTAGCATGATGGCTCCAGCTTTGTTCTTTTTGCCTAGGATTGTCTTGGCTATGTGGGCTCCTTTTTGGTTCCATATGAAGTTTAAGGTTTTTTTTTGGTTCTGTGAAGAAGGTTGATGGTAGCTAGATGGGGATAGCACTGAACCTATAAATTCCTTTAGGTGGTATGGCCATTTTCACAATATTGATTCTTCCTAACCATCAGCATGGAATGTTTCTCCATCTGTTTGTGTCCTCTCTTATTTCCTTGAGCAGTGGTTTGTAGTTCTCCTTGAAGAGGTCCTTTACATCGTTTGTTAGTTGTATTCCTAGGTATTTTATTCTCTTTGTGGCTTTTGTGAATGGGAGTTCACTCCTGATTTGGCTCTCTGTTTGTCTGTTATTGGTGTATAGGAATGCTTGTGATTTCTGCATATTGATTTTGTATGCTGAGACTTTGCTGAAGTTGCTTATCAGCTTAAGGAGATTTTGGGCTGCGACAATGGGGTCTTCTAAATATATAATCATGTCATCTGCAAAGAAAGACAATTTGACTTCCTTTTTTCTGAATTGAATACACTTTATTTCTTTTCCTTGCCTGATTGCTCTGGCTAGAACTTCCAATACTCATTGTATAGAAATGCTGAGAGAGGGAATCTTATCTAGTGCCAGTTTTCGAAGGGAATGATTCCAGTTTTTGCCCATTCAGTAATGATATTGACTGTGGGTTTGCTGTAAACAGCTTTTATTATTTTGAGATATGTTCCATCAACACCTAGTTTATACAGAGTTTTCAGCATAAAGGGCTGCTGAATTTTGTCGAAGGCCTTCTCTGCATGATGATCATGTAGTTTTTGTCTTTGGTTCTGTTTACATCATCGATTACATTTACAGGTTTGTGTATGTTGAACCAGCCTTGCATCCCCAGGATGAAACCTACTTGATCATGATGGATAAGCTTTTTGATGTGCTGCTGCATTCAGTTTGTTGGTATTTTATTGAAGATTTTTGCATTGATGTTCATCATGGATATTGGCCTGAAGTTTTTGTTGTTGTTGTTGAGTCTCTGTCAGATTTTGGTATCAGGGTGATTTTGGTCTCATAAGATGATTTGGGAAGGATTCCTTCTTTTTGTATTGTTTGGAATAGTTTCAGAAAGAATGCTACCAGCTCCTCTTTGTTCCTCTGCTGGAATTCAGCTATGAATCCACCTGGACCTGGACTTTTTTTGGTTGGTAGCCTATTAACTGCTGTCTCAACTTCAGATCTTGTTATTAGTCTATTCAGGGATTCACCTTCTTCCTTTTTTAGTCTTGGTAGGGTGTAAGTGTCCAGGAATTTATCCATTTCTTCCAGATTTGCTGGTTTATGTGTATAAGGTTGTTTGTAGTAATCTCTGATGGTGGTTTTCATTTTTGTGGCTTCAGTGGTGATATCCCCTTTATCATTTTTTATTGCATCTATTTGATTCTTCTCTCTTTTCTATTAGACTGGCCAGTGGACTATTTTGTTGATTTTTTTCAAAAAACAAGCTCTTGGTTTTATTGATTTTTTGAAGATTTTTTGTGTCTCTATCTCCTTCAAGTTCTGCTATGATCTTAGCTATTTCTTGTCTTCTGCTAGCTTTTGGGTGTTTTTGATCTTGCTCCTGTAGCTCTTTCAATTTTGATAATAGGGTGTCGATTTTAGATCTTTCCTCACTTCTCATGTGGGCATTTATTGCTGTAAATACCCTCTAGACACTGCTTTAAATGTGTCTCAGAGACTCTGGTACATCGTGTCTTCGTTCTTACTGGTTTCAAAGAAAATCTTTATTTCTATCTTCATTTCATTGTTCATCCAGTTGACATTCAGGGGACAGTTGTTCAGTTTCCATGGAGTTGTGTAGTTTTGAGTGAGTTTCTTAATCCTGAGTTCTAATTTGATTGCCCTGTGGTCTGAGAGACTGTTCGTGATCATATCAGTTCTTTTGCATTTGCTTAGGAGTAATTTACTTCCAATTATGTGGCCAATTTTAGAGTAAGTACAATGTGGTGCTGAGAGGAATGTATATTCTGTGGATTTGGGGTGGAGAGTTCTGTAGATGTCTATTAGGTCCATTTGGTTCAGGTCTGCGTTCAAGTCTTGGATATCCTTGTTGATTTTCTGTCTCGTTGATCTGTCTAGTATTGACAGTGGAGTGTTAAAGTCTCCCACTGTATTGTGTGGAAGTCTAAGTCTCTTTGTACATCATTAAGAACTTGCTTCTAGTATCTGGGTGCTCCTGTATTGGTTGCATATATATTTAGAATAGTTAGCTCTTCTTGTTGGATTGATCCTTTTATGTAATCCATAGCTCCATTATGTAATGCCCTTCTTTGTCTCTTTTGATCTTTGTCAGTTTGAAGTCCATTTTATCAGAGACTAGGATTGCAACCCTGCTTTTTTTTTTTTTTTTTTTTTTTTTTTTTTTTTTTTTTTTTTTGCTATTTGCTTGGTAACTCTTCTTCCATTCCTTTATTTTGCCTCTATGTGTGTCTTTGAACATGAGATGGGTCTCCTGAATATGACACACTGATGGGTTTTGACTTTTTATCCAATTCTTCAGTCTGTGTCTTTTGATTGGGGCATTTAGGCTGTTTACATTTAAGGTTAATATTGTTATGTGTGAATTTGACCCTGCCGTTTTGTTACTGGCTGGTTTTTGTGGTTTTTTGTTGTTGTTGTTGTTGTTTTTTTTTTTTTTTTTTTTTTTTTTTTTTTTTTGTTCATTAGTTGATGCGGTTTCTTCGTTGCATCATTGTTCTTTACCATTTGGTATTTGTAGTGGCTGGTACTGGTTGTTCCTTTTCATGTTTAGTGCTTCCTTCAGAAGCTCTTGTAAGTCAGGTCTGATGGTGACAAATTCTCTCACTAGTTGCTTGTCCATAAAGGATTTTATTTCTCCTTCACTTATGAAGCTTAGTTTGGCTGGATGTGAGATTCTGGGTTGAAATTTATTTTCTTTAAGGATGTTGAATATTGGCCCCCACTCTCTTCTGGCTGGTAGAGTTTATGCAGAGAGATCTGCTGTTAGTCTGATGGGCTTCCCTTTGTGGGTGACCTGACCTTTCTCTCTGGCTGCCCTTGGCATTTTTCCTTCATTTCAATTCACCATTCCTGGTAAATTTGACGATTGTGTGCCTTGGGTTGCTCTTCTTGAGGAATATCTTTGTGGTGTTCTCTGTATTTCATGGACTTGAGTGGTGGCCTGCCTTACTAGGTTGGGGAAGTTCTCCTGGATAATATCCTGAAGAGTGTTTTCCAGCTTGGATTCATTCTCCCTATCACATTCAGATAAACCGATCAAGTGTGGATTAGGTCTTTTCTCATAATTCCATATTTCTTGGAGGCTTTGTTCATTTCTTTTCACTCTTTTTTCTCTAGTCTTGCCTTCTCATTTTATTTCATTGTGTTGATCTTCAATTTCTGATATCCTTTCTTCTACTTGATACTTGATTGATTTGGCTATTGAAACTTATATACACTTCACAAAGTTCTTGTGCTGTGTTTTTCAGCTCCATCAAGTCATTTATGGTCTTCTCTAAGCTGGTTATTCTAATTAGCATTTCCTTTAACCCTTTTTTCAAGGTTTTAAGTTTCTTTGCATTGGGTTATAACATGGTCCTTTAACTCAGAGAAGTTTGTTATTACCCACCTTCTGAAGCCTGCTTCTGACAATTCGTCAAACTCATTCTCCATCCTGTTTTGTTCCCTTGCTGGTGAGGAGTTGTGATCCCTTGGAGGAGAAGAGGCATTCTGGTCTTTGATGGTTTCATCCTTTTTGCACTGGTTTCTTCCCATCTTTGTGAATTTATCCCACTTTGATCTCAAGGAGCTGCTTGAGGACCGAGTTTGTCCCTTGTCTAACTGCAGAGGTTCTGCTGGACTGCCATGGACTTAATCCGGCTGCTGCATAGACTTCGTGTGTCTTTTGTTTACACAGAGAGATTAGGCTTGCCTCTGTAATGGCAGATGCCCTTCCCCCATCAAGGTGGATCCTTCCAGGTGGAGCTGGAACTGAAGTGCTGGCTGCGAAATCCTCAAGCGAGCAGGCTTCAGCCTGCTGGACTTTGTGGGGAAGGGACCTGCCTAGCCTATTGCCTGTCTTCCTGCTTCTAACACCTCCTCTCTCTGGGGGGCTGGTAGCTCCGTCCCAAAGGCTCTCCCAGCCAGCCAATGCATCTGCCTAGATCTGTGCTGACAATCCATGGCACCAGCCGGGGCTGCTATTCAACTCTGTGCAGGTAACTCAGCTGCTTTTCAGCTTGGTGAAGATCTCCCGGCCTCTAGGTTGCAGAGGTTTGGGTGAAGTCAGTATCTGGACTGGTGTTCCAGAGAGGGGGAGCCCCCAATCCTCTGGTCAGATGCCCTTCCCAGGTGGAGCAGTGCCCTGACCCGCCTCGGTTTGCCCTCTTTGGGCTATGCCCACTGTCCAACCAATCCCATTGAAATGAACCTCGTACCTCATTTGGAGATGGAGAAATCACTCCTTTGCTGCATCTCTCTCACTGCGAGCTGTGCCCCAGAGCTGTTTCTATTAGGCCATCTTGGCAGAATCCCACTCATTATTTGCCTTTAAAAACCTCTTTCATACAGCTTCTTAAAATATCATCATTTTAATAAACAATATGTTCTGTATGGTTGGGTATTGATTTCCAGTTCTTCATTATTATAAATAATGCTGTAATAAAGATTTTGATATGGAGTTTCTGCCACATCCTTAATATTAGGATTCAGATTTGAAGGCTCTTCTCATCGAATAGCTTGAGACTGGGGAATAATCACCAGCCTGCTCTCTACGAATTGTGCAAACCTGAAAAGACTTTCCTGCTTTGTGTCACTTCATCTGAACGAAGAAACAGAAATGTACTGATTTCATGTAGATTACTAGAAAAGCTGTCTGTAATGCTGAATCTTCCCTTTACAGGGAAGATTCCTCAAAACCAAGACTTTTTTTTCCTTATGCTTTTTCTCTAAAAGGCTGTTTCCTGAATGATGTGTCTCCTCAGTCACACTTCACAGGATTCTGAGAAGCTGCAAGAATTTGTAGGCACGAACTTGAGGCCTAGACTCATCTCCAATGTTGTGGAAAGGGACTGTACATCATGGGGCAGAGCCCTGGGCCCTCCGTACCACTTGAACAGAGCCGGGGAGAGTGACTTCCTGAGTGTATCCATGTTGGATTAAGACCAAGACTTCCTTGCCTAGGCCAAAGTTAGCTGTGTGCTCCATTCTGTGATACTGGTCAGCTCTAATAAACTTACACAAGAATTTTCTTGCCACACTGCAAGTAACATTCAAACACACACACAAAATTCTAAAATTAAATCACCAAGCAGCTGGGAGTGGTGGCACACACCTATAATCCCAGCACTCTGGGGGGCCGAGGTGAACAGATCACCTGAGGTCAGAAGTTCAAGACCAGCCTGGTCAACATGACAAAACACTGCTTCTACTAATAATACAACAATTAGCTGAGTATGATGGTGTGCACCTGTAGTCCCAGCTTCTTGGGAGGTTGAGGCAGGAGAATTGCTTGAACTCAGGAGGTGGAGGTTGCAGTGAACCAAGATTTCACTTTTGCACTCCAGCCGGGAGATAAAGTGAGACTCTGTCTCAAAAAAAAAAAAAAAAAAAAAAAAAAATTACCAAGCTATGTAGTTTCTAATCATGTCATCTGAGCTTGGAAGGAAGAATTTATAGTCGTATGCAAAGTAGGATTACAACTGTGTAAAATATCTATTCATGCAAACAAAGAGAAACTGAAGAGTATAAATGGCAATTTTCTTAGGGTAGATGACCCAAAGACTTTAAAAAATAGACTAATGATATTATTTATAGTAAATATAATGTATATTGTCTTGATATGCTGTTATTTCTAAGTAATTTTTTTCCTTAATAAAAAACAACATGATATCCTCTCTTTTCTATTACAGCTACCATTTGATGAGTGTCTCTGTCAGCAGGAGTAGCCTCTTTGTTTAAAGGAAACCACATATTACCTTTTAGTGATACATGATTTATGTTAACAATGTGGCTAGCCTCGTGTCCATGCTTTGATTCTAGCAGCTGTGTGTACAGAATCAATTAGTCATTTCTCAATAGTAGGGCAGTGAGGTCACTGCAGCTTCTAATTTGGTCCTTTTCCTGGTGTCACAGCTTTGCTATTCTCAAAATATTTGCAGTAGACCTTGACATCTACCTTATTTTGCTGAAATACTGAAACCCAAGATGCCTAAAGTCAGTAAACAAGAAAAGAAATTCCAACTTGTGACTGGAAGTCAGGTGCTGATTTCACGTTTGACAGTTCACCTGACGCATGCATCACACTCCCATTCACCCATTAGAAACAAAACGAACGGCATACTTATCTGTAGACGTTTCTCAGAATCTAGCACTTGAACTTCCACCTTCCCTGTTCACTGAAGAACGCCCTATGGCATGGTGGATGCTTGAAGAAATAACCTAAGAATCAACGAGAAGGTCTGTTTCTTGGTCTGTCAGGAGGAAGCCGTGAGATCTTGAGGAATAACTTTGCATTGCAGAACCTCCGTATTTTTAACTAGAAGACACTGGTTACATTAGACGGCCTCCAAAAGTAGAGGCTTTTTAGGCTGCCTAGCTTATTCGCGAAGAATGATGTGAAAGAATTCAAGACGTCATCCTCAACAGAAGATCCCTCTCCTTGCCATCAGTCACCTCAGCCATCTCTGTCACAAGTGCACAGCCCTGGCTCAGGAGCAGTGGGCTCACCACGGGGCTGCTGCAAAAATAGCCTGAACTGCAGTTCCTGCCTGTGTTGCATTAACAGCTGGGTCCTTATACACAAAGGAAAACGTGTGCTTGTTGGAAAGATGGCCTTAAAGGAATCTCAGGGCTCCTTTTTTACTTAAGATAGGAGAAACTAGGCACAGAGAGAAATCCAGACATAATTTACTTCAAAAGTACATTTCTGAATAACACAGTCAAAATAAAGAAGAGAGGAGGGATTTTTCCTACCAGTATTGACATAGTATCAAAACACGGCAGTATTGGCACGAGAACAGACAAGTAGGCCAATGGAACTGAACAGACCCAGAAGAGAGGAGGAGGCGTAAGTGGGAACTTAATATACCATAAATCAAATGGGAAAGAATGGACTATTTCATAGATTCCATTGGGGAAACTGGCTCGCTACGGGGGGAAATCAAAATGGAACACCATATGAAAAGGTGGATTCTAGATTTATTCCAGCTCCAATTGTGAAAGGTAAAATTACAAAGTAACAGAAAAAAAAAATAGACAAGTATCTTTTTACCTGGGAATAGGAAAAGTAATCTTGAAAAACATTTGAAAGAACAAGTCCAAAAACAAAAATACTTATAATATTATGACATCCAAGTTAAAGGTTTCTGTTCAGTAAAGCACAACTATGGGTAACTGAAACATGACAAGATGAAAAAATATATCTATGGTCTCTAAAAGTGACATGCAGCAGCTTCCAGTGTCTGGTACAACATATAAAGATGTTGAATATCATCCCTTCTGTCTTCAGAATGAGAAAAAAATCTAAAGAAATGGAAAATCAACAACATTTCTTAGGTCCATAAGAGAATTAAGGTAACAGGACAGATTGCCACATTGAAAACCAAAGAAACAACCATTCCAGCATCAGTGTGATGGCAAGAAGGAAGCGCAACCTGAGTGACATCATGGAAGAGGGGGCGGGAAAACCTGTCCATGTGCCACGGAAAGCCAGCGTGAACCACAGTGAAACAGAACACAGTATTCCCTACCTAAACGAAAAGCCGTCAGCCCCCATGCACATTCTTCAAGACACAGATAGAAATGTCTGCATTTACCAAATGAGAGTGGTTGATGCTGAGAAAAGTGGGAATTGGCAGTGGAGAACGGAGGTAAAAGAACATTTTATAAAAACACAACAGAAGAGGATCTTCAAGGATCAATCATGATACTGTGGACCAAGACTAACTCGCCCATTTGCATCTGCTGTAAAGAAAAAAAATAGTTAACAAAAAGTTTATAAAACAAGGCCAGTGGGTACAGGGAAGTCCCCTGAAAGTTCCTAGGGACTTACACTCTGGAACGGAAACTGGGCTCATCTGTGCTTATCAATTCACATCCTCGTCCTCATTTTTAATTAACTGGGCCAAACTCACTCCCAGTGGCCATACTTTGAAAAGAAAAAGATTAAAAGTTTCTAAACTTCAGCTGTTAAAGTGATGCAATTCAGTGCTATCTCAACTCCAAACACGTTTCCAAGAATCTACAATTCCAAAGCCGATGTTGTCACACGGCTGTCCTCAAGGAACCTCAAATGCAATGCCCGAAAAATTGAGTGCATCAGCTCCCCTTCGAAGTGCTTTTCCTCCTACTTTGGGGTACTGCGTTCACTGAGGCTCCCCTCCTCCTTTCCCACGTGCGGTCTGTATGCTGGAGGTCGCTAAAACCTCCCCTTCCTCTGTTCTCTCTGGCTCTCCCTGAAAACTCTTTACACAGGCTTCCTAACTGCTTTAGAAACCAGATTCACTCCTATCCCTCCCCTACTTAAAAATGAGCTCCATGGCAGGGCGCGGTGGCTCACGCCTGTCATCCCAGCACTTTGGGAGGCCGAGGCGGGTGGATCATGTGGTCAAGAAATCGAGACCATCCTGGTCAACATGGTGAAACCCCGTCTGTACTAAAAATACAAAAAATTAGCTGGGCATAGTGGTGCGTGCCTGTAATCCCAGGTATTCGGGAGGCTGAAGCAGGAGAATTGCCTGAATCCAGGAGGCGGAGGTTAGGGTGAGCCGAGATCGCGCCATTGCACTCCAGCCTGGGTAACAAGAGTGAAACTCCGTCTCAAAAAAAAAAAAAAAAAAAAAAAAAAAAAAGAGGAGAGAGAGAGAGAGAGAGCGCTCCATTGCCTGTGGGCTCTTCACCACATCTTCAGCATGTCAAAAAAAACTCTGTGATATGATTCTACCCCATCCTACAAACTTGCTCTGTCATTACCCATCATACAGCCCCAGGGTGGAGGGCAGGGGCACTCCCTGCAAACACCATACTCATATCTTTTGCCCTCTGTCTGCAGAGAGGATGAGTCAGGGTGAGCCAAGCTCTGCTGCAGCAACAAACCTTCAAGGGTTATAAAAACAAAGATTTAGTTCCCACTCATGTCTCACGTCCTTCATTCACCTGCCACTCTGATTCCTGTCGCCTTCACTCTAGAACAACTTTGAGCTGATGGAGCCGCCCCTCTGGCCCTTTTTAGAAAATACAGAGTGTGGCAAGCTACAAGGTGGCTACCAGCACTTCCTTCGGAAATACGGCATGGCGTCTCTGCCTGCACCCTACATGTCCAGTCTAGCATTCATGAGATAGGAACAAAGTCTCACCCCCGCCCCTTTCCAGGAGAAGAAAGCAAATACTAGAGATGAATGGGAGCCTATCGCACAAAACTGATTTCCTTCTGACTGCGGTACTCTTCCAGGCTTACCTCGGCCTGTGAACACCTAGGCTGCACATTTTAACCTTTACTTCCTCTGCGGCTGTATGTCCAGCTTTGCCAGGCAGAGTTAACTCTTTTATTCCTCTGTGTTCCTGTAGCATGTGGGATGTGCTTTTACACTAACACTTACATGTTCTGGGGAAACCGTATATTTCTCGTGTTTGTCTTCGCCATTCCGATTTTGTGCTCTGTAAACGTAAGCATGCTGTTTTCATCTTTTGTGTTGTGAGCATCTGTACTCTCATGGGGGCAGAGCATGGCACTTCGTGTCCAGGTGCTCAATAATGGATTGTTGTATTAATATTTATTGAACACTGTAGCATTCACGAGAATGTGTCTGACAGACTTCCAACTACAGACGGTGTAACTGACCCAAGGGCTTTATCTTCTGTGCTCTGAAATCATGGGTGCAGTACGCAGATAAATGGGCCAAACTCACTCCCAGCGGCTATACGTGGAAAAGAAATGTCGCATGGCATCTCTGCTTGCACCCCCAACATGTTCAGTCTAGCATTCATGAGATAGCCATCATGGACGGCTCCCAGCCAACGTCCCAGTGTGGCAAAGATGCTAAGGCAGGCCCATTGCTGGGAGATGCAGGACTTCCACTCTGGTGAACTCTGCCTCTAGACTCCCCAGCAGCCTCATGAAAACTTCCAAGAATGCCACAGCATATGAGGGCTCTCCCA